AGCCACCCGCCACCCACGACTGCCCCACCACAGAAACCTACCTCACCCCACCACCTACGATCCCACCACACACACACACTAAGCTCCTCCACACTTGGATCCTGCGGAGCTGAGCCTGCCCACCCATGCTTGGTGCACATGGCCCAGAGGAGCAGGACGCCTGGGTGTTTCCGGGGGAGGCCCAGCCCTTGGACTGTGGCAGTCAAATGCAGCCTCACTGCCGAGTCCCTGTACCAGGCGATGTGGGGGCTTCAGGGTGATCTCCCAGTTGCCTGTGCTCCCTGCTGCCATGCTGGAGTCACTTTTCTTTATTGACAAAATTTGCAGAATTTTAAAATGTGTGCTTAATTTTTTGGCACAGAATTCCCGCTGGAGTAATAGGAGAGACCTGGGTTCCATTCCCAGCTATCCTGAAATGACTGTATGAAACCTCTCAGTTAACTTACTTGTAAAACAGGGGAATGATACCTGAGTGCTTTTTATGGCAGGAGCCTTTGCTCAATAATAAAAGATCACAAGTGCATAGAAATATAACAGTAGTCGGTAGGGGGGAGATCAGAACTCCTGGCTCCCAACTCAGTGCACCTTTCCCTAGGCTGCTTGGGGGCGGATTTTTCTTCTCTCACTCATCTGTGGGACATAGCTCAGTTTGGTGGGAAGTAGAACAGGCAGTGTGATTTAGCAAAGATGTGGAACATCCCACAAAACATAGTAAACAAATTTTTCAGCTGGTTCTCCATTGCCATATAATCCTGCCCCACTCACCTATTTACATTACCTATCCAAACTTAATGTAGACCCCTAACATTTGCAAAACTATATGCAAAAGTGAAAACAAATTACTAGATTACAAAATTTAATTTCCTATTCAAGGGATCAATTTCCAATATACTATACATATGCTACTACCTTACTCACTATAAAACACTACATGTTATTTTCCCCTTTGCCAAAGAGTAGCTGAATTCCTGACATAGCAAGTCAGTTTCCCTTGTGGAGCAGAAATTGCTGATATGGAGTCAGGTATTTGTTGGGTGTAATTTATTTACAAATACACAAGTCCAGTTCCTTCAAACAAGTGTAAGCGGGGGAATGGTCCCGCTATTGGGAACTTTCCTGGCTTCTGCACTACCCCAGTGAAGTGGGCTAGAGAAAGGATCTGAGTTCTCGCTCCCACTTCCTTTACCCAGAGACCTCCCTGCCCTCGAGGACTCCCCTTCCACTCTCCTGTCTGGCAGAGTCCTCATAACCCCAACAAGGCTGGGCCCAGGATTCTTGGGGGGCTCAACTCCCAACCCTGCTGTGGTCACCTAGGACAGGGGCTAGGGTGTCCCCACTCCGGGGTACTCTCTCTGCACTGGGCGCCTCCCTGACCCACTGATCATTTCATACAATTTAAAGCAAATACAAGTTGTTTAATTAACAATTAATTTAAAGGAAAAATGGGAAAGGTTAAAGGAAAACGCATCACCCTGCTCTGTGGCAGGGAACATTACAAACAGTGTCTCTGGACATCAGGGCACTTCACAGTCTGTTCCTTGTAGGTCCCAAGTCTCCTTCTCAGGCCCTGGCTGTGCTGCAGGGATGCTGCGGGTTGGACACTTGCAATGGTGGTGGCCACACACCTCCAGGCTTTGGGTGGTGGGACCCTTCTTCCCAGTGTCAGCCCCCCGTTGGGTTAAGATCCCCCTCCCAGTCTGGCCTGCAAGGGCCATTGGCTGGGGGTATCTTTCTGCACTGGGCCCTTTGCCCAAGGTCCCCCCTTGGCTGGCCCCAGTTGCTCACCACACCTGGCTCTGTGGCTGCAGCTCTGCTCCCAGCACAGGATCTGCTCTCTCTGTGGGCTGCTTCTGTGACTCTGCTCCCAACTCTGACCTTTTCTGGCCCCTCTGAATCTGGCCCGGCTCTGCTCCCCAGCTCAGCTCAGGCCCCTGCTTTCTCCTTAGCTTGGCCCCACTCCGTCTGACCCAGGCAATTCCAGCTCACAGGGGAGGACCCTCTCCCCCCCCCCGCCTCCTGACTTACGGATTAGCCTGCCCGCCCTGTCAATCAGGCTCAGAGGCTGACACTGACCTGGAGCATTGGCCTCTCCCCAATCTTCTAGTGCTGGGAGCTAGCCAACCGAAACACCCCCACTGACTGTTAGTAAGGGGGCAACAGTCCCCTTACACAAGGGTGATAACGAACGGCACACAGGCAACTCCCTTTAGCAGAAATCTCTTATAAGGCCCTAAAGTAGGTGTCTTGCTCTGTTTCTTTCAAGGCTCTGACGCCAAAGTCACTGCTTAAGCCATAGTTACTAGTTCCAGCCCCAAGCTCCTGCGTTTTTACCTGGAAAACCCTGCTAGCCCCCAGACTCTAGGGGTTGACTAAGGGGCTTGACTGTTAACCCCTCCTTGTTGAAACTGCTCTGCAACGCAGAGCTCAAAGAGACCTAATGAGGGATGTTTTAACCCACACAAGGAGTCAAGAGCATGCAGGACAAATGACCAGTTCTGCCAAAAAGTGGGGTGCAGAGGAACGTGGAGTGGTGATGCCAGCCCCGCACGGGGAGGGAAGAAGGGCTCGCGTGTGGGGCAAGCAGCTCAGGGGAGCCCTGCACAGGTGCGGGGGAGGCTCAGGTGAGAGGCTGGGGTCAGCATGGCGTGGGGGGGGGGGAGCCGGGGGGGGGGGGCTCGGGTTAGCTCCGCGGAGGGGGGGGAGAGGGAGGCGAGGCCTAGCCTCACCCAGTGTCCGTTTTCCCTTTGGGAAATGCTAGATGAGTTGTATGCACCTACAACTGGCCTTATTTATTACACCACACAATACTACTTTTATTAAATATTTTTATCCCCCAACAAAACATTGCTGGAAGTTGCATACTCTCCGGGCATTGTGTGTGAAACAGCGACGCTACCAAATCTTGAGAGCGCGAGTGTTGCAAACCCTTTTGCAACAGCTCTTTCTTTCCGGCCGTGCTGTGTGATTTGTGAAAGTGGTCTATGCAGCGCTATGCTCAGCTGTCTTGCAGCATGCTAGATCCTGAGGGCAGTGTGGAGCACAGGGCTTCCTCCTCCTCCAGAGTTTTTCTCATCCTTCTAGCCATGCTCCTTGCTGTAGCATTGCTGCTTTGCTTAGCATTCGCCGCCTCGCAGCAGAAGGAGAACGATTTTTATACATTTAAAGTGGTAAACATCAGGGGCAAGCTAGTCTCTCTGGAGAAATACAGAGGCTCGGTAAGTTTGCAGGGAGATGAGCAGCTGCTCTCATTGCAGACTAACTAACCAGCCCATCTTTGCATGCTTGCATAAGGGAGTGGGAATCCAGAGATTGTACATTAACTTGCATGCATGCACGTTTATAGTCTCTCATTTGTGCATTTTGTGTAACTGATCTGGCGTATTGCTTGCATGTTTACTTTGATATCGTTCCATAGGTTTCTCCATTATTTTAATAAAACGTTTGCTTAACCCCTGTGTGTGAGTCTGTTTCTTGGGCAGGCTGCTCTGTATACGTGGCACACGGGGTTGCTTGCCGTTCATTTACTATACATAGTACTCTGTTATTGTCTATTATTAATCATGAAAACATTTATCCGGGATTGGAAGCATGTGTCATTTTAAAGCAAAAGTCTGTATTGCAAGATATTTCCCCTTTTGAAAGACTTGACTTTTGCTGAATTTTATTTGAAGCAAAAGGGGAAAACGAGGATGGTGTTTAATCAGTATGTCAAGGAATGCACCATAATAATTAATTAATAAACGAAACTGAGAAGATAAGCAAAGCAGATTATATTAATCTACAATTAAATCATAGAAATTAAAGATAATGTGAGGAAAGGGGCATGACAGCAGATCTGTTTAAAAACAATTAATTTAAATGTTACTTACATATTACTCAGGGAGTTCTAAATGAAACTCTCTCCCCAAAAGATGTACACATTTTCTCAAGTTCTTGAAATGTGATTACGATATAGTCATAAGAAAATGTATCATAATTATGTATATTCAAAGGTTAATAAATAGCATATGCATTTAGAAACTGTGAGGCAAATCAGGGTTGGTTCTTCATGCTAGAATGGTGGAGAGAAAAGCAACTATAAACCGGGCTTTACTTGCCAGTATGCTCCGGCTTACTTGTGCTCCAGCTTTGGAGTGGCACAAGGCAGCTGGACTGTACCTGTGAATTTGGCTGTAAAAGTTAAAATTGGCAGGGAGGACCTAAGGTTGAAGTTAAGGGCTTTAACTCATTAAAGATGTCAAATGATAGCATTTTCTTTGGGTTTCTTTTTTAGTGTTCATTTATGAAAATATTAATAAAGTAAGAAAACAAGGAAATTTCCAGACAAAAAATTGTTAAACTGAAGTTAAGGTTGAGAGTATATATCAGTAATTTAAGGGTGAAAAAATTTAACAAGAACATTGTCCAAAAATAAGCAAATTAGAAACCCAGAAAATTCAGAGTTAAGTTAAACTTTAAAAAATAATCCAGACATGTTGAGAAATGAAAATGCAGAGTGAAAGTACCCAAACATTTTAACTCTGTCCTGTAGTGATTCCATAAGGAAACTTATGAACAAACCAAATATACTAATCTACCTTTATGGTCCCAGATTAGAGTTAAAGAGACTAGTCCAAGGTAGCAAAGCAAGTCAGTGGTTAGAACTCCAGGAACAGAACCAGGGTCTCCTGACTCCCACTCCAGTGCCCCATCTAGTGGAGATGTATTGTCCTAATTTCATAGTGCTTTTTTGTAAATTTTTATGGCCAGAAGGGCCTGTTATGATAATCTAGTCTGTCCTGCATTATACAGGCTGTAGATTTCACCTAGTGATTACTGCATCTAGTGTAACATCTTCTGGTTGAATGAGAGCATTTCTTTGAGAAGGAGTCTTTAAATCAAGAGTTTTCTGTCTAAGTGATAAATAATGTACCACATCCTTTGATAATCTATACGGACAGTTAAAAGTATGTTTTATTTCCAGTTTGATTTTTTAATAGACTGTTCTTGCAGATAAAATGCCTGGCAGGGGCATGCAATGATCAGTTGCACATGGTTTCATGCAAGGATTGTGCTCACTTGAGGACATTCTTGCATACTCTATTCCATGTCATTGTGCCACTTACTTATATGTGATCCTTGTACTTTTGCCAATAGGAATGAGAGACGAAGTTAAAAATATTTAAGATCAAAAGGGAAGCTCCTTGGTGGATTTAGACTAAATGAGGCCCAGATCCAGTCTGACTAAAGCCCCCAACCCACCCACCAATTCAAACTGCGCTTAAGTGGTACATAGACCTCATGTTGGTCCCCAACATAGAGGAGAATTTTCTCCATTGCATACACAGGTATTTGTTTGTTTCTAAGAGTACCCACAACTTGCTAAATGCTGTACAAACATAATACATTAATGTTTGTCTAAGTGTAGTTTAATATATAAATATATAACAATGTATAAATATATAATGTGGTGTCTCTCCCAGATGGACATCATCTATATGGGATACCGTCAAATTGCTTGTTATTATACAGTAGTTGGCTTTTCTTCAATAGTTTGTTCCCATAATTTCTTCCAATGGGTCTGTCAAGAGTCAATAAATGCTCTGACTGGAGCACATCTTGTCTGCAGGGCACCTGTTGCAGCTCTGGCTTTTAAAGGAGCAAATACCTTCTTCAGCTTCAGTAATTCAGAGCCAGAATCCCCTGGGAAGAAGTTGAAGAGGAAAACTCTCCAAGGTTACTCTTTTATGGAGTTCCTCACAAAGGACAGAGGGTATTTGCCCCACTGCAGAATGAGCTGCAGGGCCCATTTCCACATCTCGTGCCTCTGCCGCACCTCTGGGTTTGCAGCTTTATTGTAGTTATGTAGTTAGCACTTTCTCTAGGGGTGACCAACCCCATGATCCCCATAATGGAGGGCTCCTTACCACAGAGAAGTACTGGGGATGCATCATCTTTTCTTCTTGGTCTCAGCTGTCCCCACCTTGACCAGCACTCACTCAGCACAGGACCACCCAGTTCCTCAATGTGGTTCTCACATCCATGAGAGCCCTCCATGGGCTTCTTGTGAAAAGGGCAGGAGGAGAGGATGCCATGAAAGTGATGACCCCCTTTCTGAGTGGAACAGCAGAGACCCACATGTGGGGGGCCCCACCCTTCTCAATCCAATTGAAACTTGACTACTCATATGTGAATATTTAAATGAGATTAAAACAATAAAATCTCCCTTATCTCCCATCCTCCGTGCTGGGGCTGGGCATTAGTGTCACATCCATATGCATCCTCTTTCAGAGGTAGATAATGATTCCATGGTTAGAGTCTGTTGCACCATAAACTGAAGTCTTGGTTCCCTTTATTCCTTTAGCTAGCTCATTTTGTGCCTTTGCCTTTCTAATCTTGCCCCTGCATTCCTGTGTTGTTTGCCTATATTCATCCTTTGTGATTTGTCCTAGTTTCCATTTTTATATGACTCCTTTTTAGATCATGCAAGATCTTGTGGTTAAGCCAAGCTCATCTTTTGCCACATTTTCTATCTTTCCTACCCAGCGGAATAGCTTGCTTTTGGGCACTTAGTAGTGTCCCTTTGAAATACTGCCAACTCTCCTCAGTTGTTTTTCCCCTCAGTCTTGATTCCCATGGGACCTAACCTATCAGCTTTCTGAGCTTACCAAAATCCACCTTCCTGAAATCCATTGTCTCTAATTTGCTGTACTCCCTTCTACCCTTCCTTAGAATTGTTAACTCTATTGTGAACTTTCACAGAGCTCTTCTTCAGTTCTAGGATAAAACCGTTGTATTATATGATCTACCTACATTAGATATGAAGTGCAGTGAGCCAATCATAAAGAGCTATCAGAAAATAAGGAAATTTGTATCTTGAGGTAAACAAGGAAAGCTCATTTTATTTTAAAGGTTTTATTGGTCTCATTGTCACTATACTCACTTTAATCGCTACTGCACATATGTAGGAGTCAGCACTTCTTGGTTCCGGTCCCCTCTCTTCCACTTCTCTGCTGTGTAGTTTTAGCCTCAATAGACACATCTAGGTATAATAGCACTTACCTACCTATTGTACATAAGCCTCACCATAGTACACTTAGCTAACTAATTAATGTTAGTAACATGTTTTGAGAATCGTGAATGAAAGGCATTATACAAATGCAAAGTATTCTACTGCTGGGGGTAACATTAGGTGTTCTGCATGAATCAGATCTCTAATCTGAGAATTTAGTATTAGGTATAGAAAAAGTAAACATTTAATTACAAAGCACTGGATTTTTTGGATAATGATTCTGCAAACCAGTGTAATTTGATGTTTCTGGATAGGTCATTGTTGGGTATATAACCCAAGACCTGTGATTTATACAAGGCTCTGCTGCCTCAGCTAAAAATTCCACATCTGTTAACTTGAAGCCAATAGTAAATTAATAAACCTCTCTGTGGTCCATCCACTAGAGAGCCAAACTGTGTAAATGACTTACACCAGTATGTAATATTTTTTTCCAATATTGAATTTAAGATTAGACTGCTTGGATTTTCTAAGTAAAAGAAGGAAAGTCTAGTATTGTAAGGGCCAACAAAGGCTAATGCATGTTACAGCTTTATGAAAATATTTTTGGAAAAGTCAAGGATTAATTGTTTGCACTGTACACTAGATGGTGCACTTGACTCACATTCAAAGTTCCAGGACAGGGTAAGAGAAAAGGAAGCCTATATTAAGCTCACATGTTTTACTAAATATTAATGACTTAAATAATTAAAATGTTAGTGCCCAAATGAGACAAAGCAAGTGACTTTTTTATAAAGAAAATTTTAAACACACTGCAAACAGATCAACTCATTTAATCTTCTGTAATGCAGGATAGAACCACTTAAAGATGACCTGCTAATTTTTAAAAAACTAGATTTGTGCCTTTTTTGCTACTTTATGATGTTTTTAAAAAGGCATGAAAGGGTTTCTATTTAAATTTTGTTTTGTCTGCTTTATTATTTCCTCAAATCTCAAAATCCTACTTTTGTGGGAGGCCCTCTGGAAGGTCTCAAAATGTGCATTGTGAGCACTCATGTTATTTGAAGAAATTGTGCTAGCAAACACTTCTTTCTCCAAGATGTTAAGTCATTGAAATTAAATAGATGTTGAAAAAAATCACGTTTGTATTGACAAAATTCTTTCAGGCCTTCTTTACAAATACTGTATATTATAATCAAGCAAAAATTACATGCATTTTTTCTTTGC